AGTATTCTTCTGCGCCCTCTTTCTGCTCTCATTTGCTTGAGTACCTTCACTCTCGTAACATGTTGGTATCATCTTAAGATCCCTTTAACCTATAATCTGTTTACTTGTTTTTTTTTTCTCCATGAGCTTTTTGTTTTATTATTCTCATTCGGTAAATCGTTGCGTTTTTGAGTTGTCTTTCGTACCTGTCTTATTTGTTTACTGAATAAATAATCAACCAATCAATCTGCTTTCTGGCTTACTAGAGGGTTATTTCTCCTAATATTATCCACTAGTTTACAGCTTGTGCTGATACTCACTAATCTGTTAGACCTTTACAAAGTAATGAGAAATTAATGAGAAATTCTGAGCCAGAACTGTCTAGCATAGATGCGCCGAAAACCGTACGTTCTTCTTTATTGGACCCTCATTTGGTATGGTGAAGTAAAGGACATGTGCTGGATCACATGAAATATCAATTAGGAAAAAAAGCCCGATGTGATCTTGAAAAACGCCTAATCAATTACACATTCATCAGAAAGATTCAAGAATGTTACAGTATAAACATAACTGTTTACACTTGTACAGCTAACGGGCAGATTTCATTCCCAAATAATTGTTATTCTTTGCTATCTAATCAAATAAATTATCAAGGTCTCGGTTATGTAAAAAAGCCTTGATTTTCGACATTTTTACTCAATAACACCCTCACATAAGATTGATTAGCGTTAGTAATTTGACTGTCTTAGCCATTTTGGACTTCTTTTTAGTTGAGAGCTTTTTGACACTCTGCACAGCCGTTCCAATTCTTGACTGAAATTTCTGGCATTTCCTTGCTAAAGAATACATGCAGCGTAAAACCCTTTTCTGGCATCTCGCTATGTTTGAAGTCTAAATTTTTATCAGAAAATTTGCTTACATTAACGAAAAGCAAACTAAGTCGAATTAAACCCTAGCACAATTAACCTCCATAAAATCAAGAATCTCTTTCGATTTATTCTTGAAAAAAATATGTATAGAAATTATCTAGATTGCTAATTATTGTAAAACGGCTAAGTTGTTTCGCTGCTATTTTTACTAATCAAACATGTGCGTTTTGTTCATACAGAGCTAATATTGCAAGGCTATACTAACTACTTACTTTTGTGTGATAGAATTCTTTTTGATTTTGGCTCCAATCTTTACCTGATTACGTAGGCGGGTCTTTTGCGGTCTTTTTGTAGCCTGCTTCGCTCTATCGAATGGTACCTAAGTCTGCCAGGAAAACAGGAGCAGCTTGACTTAAATAGAAACAGATTTTACTTTTGAGACAACCCAATACATTGCCTTATTTGGCTCTCAAAGTACCCTTTTGTAGAGTTTGCTTTAACTTGGGTTTATAATACGAAACAAATTACCGGTCACTCCTTATTACCGTAAGTTTATGGTAACAAAATACAGCAGAAGCCGTTCTGAGACAGGCCAAAAAAATCCAGGAAAATATTTAAAAAATTGTGTAGTCAGAATTTTCAGGCATACTTACACAGTTATCTTCAACTTTAAGCTTCCTAAATCAAATTTTTGAGTAACACGAATAAGACTTGCTATGATTTATGCGAAATGACTTAAGACAAGCATTACTGTGAAAATGCGAACTTACAATTAGTATAACAGCTGTTTTGGTTCTCTTTCCAAAATAAAATGTAACTGCTAATGGTTAGAGTTCCTATCATAATTCTACAGTAGTAGAGAGAGATTGATAAGTCGCTCCATACTGTAAAGCTAGATTGAAGCCAGTTCAATTCAATACCTTGGCGAAAGACAAAGGAGCAAAAAAGCCATTGACGTTTAAATATTACGTTGTCCCGAAAGTTTTGTCGGTTTCTTTTATCGCTCACTAAAACTCACAAAACACCAATCCATAAACGATCTAGGCATCATTTGGTCCAGATTTTCATCCACTTTCTTACAGATATACTTGCTCTGTGATTTACCCTGTCTTTGCAATGTTATCGCCACGGCTTTTTGAGCAGCTCAGTAGTAACGGCAAATCTTTTCTGAATTTTAGAATTTTTTATTCTGATGTTTTCGAAGAGCGCTGGTAGATGTTATGTGGAGCAAACCTTTGGCTACATTGTGTTCATTTTAGATTACATGAACCGCTTTTACCAACCCGTTATAACTATTTATTTAGTAAAAATCGCGGCTTTTTCACTAAATTCACGTGAAATTACCAAAAATTTTTAAAAGGTGCTTTTTCGAAGCGAACCAAATTTGGTTATATTGCATAAATGATGTTCAGTAAGATTCATGTTTTCTTGTGTTTGCTGCAGTTGCGTGTTTCATGACTTTGCCAAAAATCGAGACCTCCGGAGAAATAATTTTTTGAAGCTAAAATCAGCAGATTAGGAGAATCTAAAAATACCATCTTGTAGTCCGAGAGTTACTCTATTTGATCCGTGCTTGATCCTTTTCGAAACTTTGTAACGAAATTTTTGAAAATTAGCCTAACTTTGAGGAGGTAGAATTGACAGGTGAAATTTTGGCAAATCAAAAGAAGCATGCAAGATTTTGGTATGAAAATGTATATACAAGAAAGAAAAGGAAAAACTGCATCGAATGCATATTAAAATTCATTCAGGTCTTTATTGTGCATAGTTTTATACCGGTTTGAAAAAACCGACAAAACTTTCGGGACAACCTAATAGCAGGGACAATTTTTGAACACCCTGTATAAGCGTGACATCATCATCATCATCATAAAAAGCTGAGTTGAAAACAAAGACCTCACTGGTCTGATGTACTTTGCTGTGCGGTGTTATTCGCTTGCTAACGATGCAAAATTATGCAAACAAGGACTATCCAAACTTTTTTTGCTGACTAGTTCTACAAAACATTTTTCACTTATGAAGCTGTTTTCAAATGTATCAAAATCCTTACACATCATTTTTATTTATTGATTATCAGGTGTTGTATTATGTTAAACGTTTTGATTTTGTCTTTATCATCTTGCCTGCCATTGCCAGATTGCCATTGCCAGATGCCAGATTTATCGTGATAATTAAGGAAACGTGCGAAAATTGACCATGGCAGAAAGTGTGGGTTTCGGGTAATTATTTTTTTAGGAGCTCATTCATTACGTTGCAATGGGAACGTAACCTTCTAAAAGAGAACGAAAACATGCATAAAATGCCATTAAAACCTTTTACAGATCCTTGTTCGCAATTTGTATCAGCCGTTAAAAAAGCGGAAAAAAACTTTTGTGACGTTCTAATATTAAGTCGTCCCGAAATTTTTAGCAAGCGCCCATTTATCGTCTCATGCCCATTAAAAGGAATTAAGGGCATGAACACTCTTGCTTAATTTATAATTTTGTACTTTACTGATATCTTTGGCTGGGTAGTAGGCAGTTGATCTTATGATCTTCGTTTAGCTCCTTGAAGTGAATTCTATTTTGAATAATTTTGCACGGTTGTTCATCCTGATCATCACCATTTTTAATGGAATTATCTTAATCATCCTCCAATTTTTTATTAGGTTGGTGCAAAAATAATGAGCGTTTTTATTTGCTTGCTTTAACAAAGCAACCAGTCTCAACCCAACAAAGGGTAAGGGGTACTGTTTGATAGAGCAAAGCAAGCTCTACAAGATGGCACTCATGTCTTTGCGCCATGCTCGATCCACTGAGAGTTCGAACACAAAATCTAAAGATTTCCAAATGCCCAAAAAATCGAAAAAAATCAGATCTTCGTCCAAATAATTTCTACGGACCTCCCACTCGCTCACATCAATACTATCGATACCTGATATCCATATGTGCGATTGCCGTATTTTTTCCTTGACTAGAGACTGAGAAAACGAAAATTTCCCTGATTTTCTCAAAGCAATGCTGAGCCGTTTTTGCACATGCAGTTCTATACTGCAAGCCTAGGTGAGCGTAACTGTAGGTTTTCAGTCTATTTCGAGCGGTACTTTTCAAGAAATGCCGATTTTAGCACTGAAACTGAAACGAAAAAATCCGAATTCGTTATTTTTCGAAAACTATCGCTTGGAATGGGCTGAAAATCTACAGTTATGCTTACCTAGGCTTGTGGTATAGAACTACATATGCAAAAACGGCCCAGCATTGCTTTGAGAAAATCAGGAAAATTATCGTTTTCTCAGTTTCTAGTCAAGGAAAAAATACGACATTAGCACGTATGGATATCAGATATCGATAGTATTGATGTGAGCGAGTGGGAGGTCCGTAGAAACTATTTGGACGAAGATCTGATTTTTTTCGATTTTTTGGGCATTTGGAAATCTTTAGATTTTGAGTTCGAACTCTCCGTGGATCGAGCATGGCGCAAAGGCATAAGTGCCATCTTGTAGAGCTTGCTTTGCTCTATCGAACAGTACCCCTTACCCTTTGTTGGGTTGAGTCTGGTTGCTTTGTTAAAGCAAGCAAATAAAAACGCTCATTATTTTTGCACCAACTTAATATATTATCTCCAATAGTCATATTCTTATCTTCAATAGTCATATACTTTGCAGATGCTAGCCAACAATTTTGTCCGAAGAAAAACAATGACGTTCTCTAGTTATGATGACATGCTATTCACAAAATTGATCTAGGCATTTTCGCATGGCCTCAAGAGATAAAAATACTGAAAAACAGTTTTTTGCATCGTAGTCCACAGTAATACTTTTGATCGTATCACGATCGTTGTCAAAATAAGTATATGCTTGTTCCAAAAAACCTGCCATTTTGAAAACTTAATAAAAAAGAAACGACTTTATATATTTCTTGCATTATGTTGTTTTACTGTGATGGTTCAACTTTATTAGGGTTTAATACCCTTGAACCGTTGCATTTTTGCTTTTCGTTACGCCCATCAAAAATTTTGTTTGGAAAATTACCAGACATGACGAGCCCTAGCCTCGATTTCTTCTTATTTCACTCATGTTTATATCCCGTACACACATATTTGCTTCTACTTTATATATTTTCCACCTACCTACTATATTCCTGATATTTTCAGACCTCCCAACAAAACTACAAAATGTCCTTGCTCTATGAAGATGAATTTGTTAGCGTCAACGAAGTGGCTCTAACAATAAAGAACTACCACTTCCCATCGAAAAAAGTCAAATGCATCCCTATTGAAGCTATACGTGTTCTTTGGTTTGAAGTAGGTCCATATTTGTATGTCGTAGTTGTTTTTACTACCACGGTTTTTAGGAACAAGATCGAACGAAGGGTCCAACGAAGATGTGGGGTAAATCAACAACATCTGTCTATTGGACGCTTGATGTGAAGAGGTAAGTTTTTTAATTTTTGTCTCAAAACAAGCGCAATATTGTCCGTGTTGCAAAATAAAATAGTGGCAATTACGAGCATTATTTTCATGCTTAGTCTCTGTGCTTTTACCTTTTCACCCGGAATTTAGCTATAAAAGCAGTTGACAATTGAAATTAAATGGCGTTCATTCATCTGGATCGCAAGAGGACGGATAGAAAAAAACAATCACAGCTAATGAACTAGAGTCTCACAGTCCCACTTTCTATATGAGTAATTGCAATTTCGCATACTCGTAAGCACAAATTTGAGAAAAATTTGCAAAAACCAAAATGTATATGCTTGTCATTTCTAACTACAAATCCTGTAAAATTCTGCAAGTGTTGCTGACGCGACATACTTGCGTCAAACCTGAAAAAAGTCTTTGCGCAAGAATATCTGAGTTTATTAGCAAGAAATATTTTTTCTGTGACTGGCAAATAAATTCATCAAAAACGTGCAACCAATCAGCCAAGGTGCTTGGGCAAAAACACCAGGCCCAATATAGGTTTTTGGTTAAGAAAATAAAGGTATGCGGTGATTTTTGAGCCCGAAAATATCAGTTCTTTGTCGTTTCTTTTATTGGCCTGACTCTAAGCTGTATTTGCATTTTTATCCGTTAGCAGACATGAAAATGTTGGCTGCCTTCTTAATCGTGTTTGTTTTGATAATTTTTGGAATTACCGCCATTACTTCAACCTATAATCTTTTGTTTTTGTTGTGTTAATGTCTGATCAGTTGTTTTCTCGTATGATCTGCCCTCGCTGAGGCGCCTGCGACCTCAATGCGCGGGAAATGAGCGCTATAAAAGGCGCTCGCTGTTAGCCATTGTCAGTTCGTCTGTTCACTCATCGCCTCTGTTAATTTACTGTTCTCTACTATTTCCTAATAAATATTCTTGTATTCCTCGTGTGCGGCCTCCGGACGAAGAGTTGACGTGTCCGACGTGGAGGACACAACAGTGGCGATCAGGATAGCGGCTACTAGTGAAGAAGTAGCCGTAACGAAGAAACGCGCGCCAGGAAGAAGCTGAGAAGAGCTTAACGAATTGATTGATCGACATGACGAAAGTGGACGTCCTGGAGATGATGATGGTCTTCAAGGAGATGATCAAAGAAGAAAGGAAGGAGATGATGGAGATGTTCCTGAAGCACATCGGAGGTACGAACCAGAACAGTTCGACGGAGATTCCGAACATGATGTCCGCACTAAGCAATCGGATCGAAAAGTTCAACTTCGACCCAGAAGCGGACGAATGTTTCAGCAAATGGTACGCCCGCTACAAGGAAGTCTTCGTCGAAGATGCGAAGCAGCTCACAGAGAGTGCCAGGGTGAGGCTGCTCTGCGAAAAACTGGACAAGGACAGTTTCGAAAAAAACCAGAGGCACGTGTTACCAAAGGAGGTAACCTCGATTAATTTCGAAGAAACCGTCGAAACATTAAAGCAGCTGTTCGACGTGAAGATTTCGGAATTCACTATGCGGTACCAGTGTCTGAAACTGGAGAAGGCAGATTCTGAAGATTACCTCCTGTACACCGGCCGAGTGAACGAACTATGTGAGAAAGCGAAGATCCACGACTTGGATAGCGACGGGATCAAATGTCTTCTTTGGATTTTTGGCCTGAAAAGCCAAAAAGAAGCCGAAATCAGGCAGCGACTTATAGCTGTACTGGACAAGGAGTACAAAGCTGGACGAAAGATGTCGCTGCAGGAGTTGTATCTGGAGTGCGAAAACTTCCTTAGTCTCAAGAAGGATAGCGAGACTGTGGCTGGTTGCACGAAGATTGTCGAAGCAACAAGCAAGGAAGAACCCAAGAAGCTGGAATGCTGGAACTGTGATAAAGCTCACTTTGCCAGGGAATGCAAAGCGAAGCTGTGGTATTGCAAGAAGTGCAAGAAGACAGGCTACAAGGAGAAGTATTGCGAACAGGTGGCGAAGAGAAAAACGCTTGTTCAGCAAGATTCAAAACGAAGAATCCACAGAAGCAGCGACACCAGTAAGAACAGAAGTTGGACGAAACCGAAACGTCATGTGCACAGCGTAGCGAAGATTGCAAATGCGATGGTGGATGTCAACTTGACACGCATGTATATCGAAGCAAGAGTGAATAGTCATCCAGTTAGTTTTCTGCTAGATACTGGATCAGACATCACGCTATTGAACGAATCAATTTGGAAGAGCATGGGTGCTCCTCGTTTGGAAGAGACGAACGTGGTTGTCAGGAACGCTAGTGGAGGCTCCATGAAAGTCCATGGAAAGCTATGGTGTGAGTACGAAATCAAAGGATCCAGAAGCAAAGGCTACGCATACGTGACGCCTCACAACTCACTGCTAGGATTAGAGTGGATCCAGAAGAACGAAGATATGTCCTATCACTTAAGCAGAATGATTGCCGAAGTGAAGGCAGAACAAACCAAGGATATCGCTTCGAAGCTAAAGGAAGCTTACCCAGAAGTCTGCGAAGAAGGTCTAGGACTCTGCACAAAGGAGAAAGCGCATCTGAGAGTTGACAAAAATGTTCGTCCAGTATTCAAGGCTTGCAGGCCTGTCCCCCATGCTGCACTCGAAGCTGTCGAAAAGGAGTTGAATAGACTATTGGAACTGGGCGGCGTGTCATCATCCTCCCAAGGCTTACCGCCTTTCTAAAATGGACGTAGGGGACCACCCAAGAGTAGGTCGATCATGTAACTGTTAACAAGTTTGAACATGTGCCAACCATGTAATTCTGATTATACCTGGAAAGCAAGAGAAAATAAGAAAACTCCTTATTGATCCACTGAAGTTGCAATAATCACTGCAAGTCACGACAGTCATGTTTACATTTAAGACTTCAGAATGCAAATGTTGCTCAAATCTCACCTAAAAATTGCGCAAACACATATTAACAAGGAAAAGATACTTGATGACCTTGTTATTTGAGAAAGACATACACATTTATCTCTGAACGCTAATTGCAAATCTATGTTTATTATCTGTTCATTATCTTTCGTGAAAATACCATGAGCGTTTTCGGAATTGCATAACTCTACGCAACCTTCGTCGGTACCAAAAATGTTTCTGCTTTGCACTTTCTAACATCATTAAGCAAGGTACTAAAGCACCGTGACAATTTGTTTCAATTTGGTAGACGAATGTCTGAGAAAAATGCATATTGATCACTCGGTCCTTCAGCGCAGAAGCTTGTAAAAATATCGTAGCTTTGTTCAACGAACAGTTTCGCAGATAGGAAAGACAGATTCTGAATGGAAATTCAAGGCATCTCATAAACAACCCTTCATAGATGGTCACGGTCACCAAATACACTTCTCTTGTTAGTCTTACTTACAAAATTCTCATGGTTGCCCCTCACAATTTATTGTTAGATGTGGCAAATGAATAAGCTGTGACTATTTAGAGGCTTAAATTATTTGGGTCGATTACTTCTTAAAGTAAAGCCAGGGAATTTTTGGCTAATATCGTTTACAACGGTTCTATCCAGTGAAAAGCTATCTGGAGACAAATTTCACCCAGAAAAGATGTTCCCCACTTATTCATCAATGAATGACCTTTACTTGTCTTATACCTGATTGAACAAGTTTGGACGTCAATTTACCCTCGGGTCGCCTACGTGCAAATCCGAAGGGCGGCACCTCTTTGAAGTGCGAGCATCGGGAGGATCCTGCACGCCCTCCATTGGAACTGAAGGTCATAACTCCCGTAACACACAGTGGATGGGCAGCTCCCATTGTGTGTGTTAGGAAAGCGAATGGAAAGTTGAGAGTGTGTGCTGACTTCTCAACTGGACTCAACAAAGCGCTGGAGTCGTATGATTACCCGTTGCCATTGCCGGAGGATATATTCGCATCACTCAATGGAGGCACTGTGTTTTCGCAGATAGATCTCTCGGACGCCTACCTGCAGATCGAATTGTCAGAAGAAGCGAAGAAAATGGTTGTGATAAATACGCATAGAGGATTGTACCAGTACAATAGACTGCCTTTTGGAATCAAGACAGCACCAGGGATCTTCCAGCAAATCATGAACAAGATGGTGAGTGGTCTGCGAGGGGTAGCAACCTACCTAGACGACATCTTGGTTTGTGGAAGAACCGAAGAAGAACATATGGAGAACTTGCTAGCTGTTTTTGCAAGGATAGCCGAATATGGATTCAGGATTCGGTTAGAGAAGTGTTCTTTCGGCAAGCCAGAAATACGATATCTCGGCTTCATAGTAGATCGAAATGGCAGAAGACCGAACTTAGCGAAGATCGAAGCGATCAAGAATATGGATGATCCGAAGAATGTTAGTCAACTGAGGGCTTTTCTTGGCATGATAACGTACTATGCGGCGTTCATGCCAAAGATCAAGGACCTTCGTGGACCATTAGATGCAATGCTGAAGAAAGATGCGAAGTGGCAATGGACACGAACACATCAAGAAGCATTCGAAAAGCTCAAGGAAGCTTTGTCAAGTGAGCTGAACCTTGCTCACTATGATCCGAGGCAGAAGATCGTCGTGGCAGCAGACGCAAGCGACTATGGTATCGGTTGCGTGATATCGCACAGATATGCCGATGGATCCGAAAAGCCAATTGCACATGCATCGCGGTCTCTTACGAAAGCGGAGAAGAACTATTCGCAGATCGAAAAGGAAGAATTGGGAATTGTCTTTGCTGTCAAGAAATTCCACAAGTACATATTCGGACGAAAGTTTTTATTGTTGACGGACCATCAACCTTTGCTAGCCATCTTCGGTGACAAGAAAGGAGTTCCAGTCTACTCCGCTAACCGACTCATGAGATGGGCTACAATACTGCTTGGATATGACTTTGACATAGAGTATGTCAAGACTACGAAGTTTGGACAAGCAGATGGCTTGTCACGGTTGATGAAGAAGAGTCAGAATAACGAAGAAGACGTCGTGATAGCTGCCGTTGAGAACGACGTAAACTTCATGTTGAAGAATTGCTTGAGGAAATTGCCAGTGACGGTATCAGATGTGCAATCCTATACGAAGAAGGACCCAATGCTACAAAGAGTGATGATCTACTTGAAGAAAGGACAGTGGCCAGACGTCAATGGAGAATTGGCACATTTTCGAAATCGAAGAGAGTCATTGTCAATCGTGGAGCAGTGTCTGATGTCAACCGAAAGGGTAGTGATACCCAAGGAGCTTCGAAGAAACGTTCTGAAAGAACTACATAGTGGTCATCCAGGGATTGTAAGGATGAAGAAACTGGCTCGAAGTTACGTCTACTGGCCGAATATCGACAAGGATTGCGAAGACTTGGTACGAAGATGCACGAAATGTCAGGAGTTAGCCAAAAATCCGACGAAGGTACCATTAGAAGCGTGGCCGTCCGCAACTCGAGTGTGGCAGAGAATACACATCGACTTCGCTGGACCCATGCAAGGAATCTTCTACTTGGTCGTGGTAGATGCCTACAGCAAATGGCCTGAAATGATCGAGATGAGCAATATCTCGGCTGCGAAGACGGTGAAGGCTCTGAAGAACTTGTTTGCAAGGTATGGATTACCGCAAACAATAGTGAGCGACAATGGTACCCAGTTCACATCGGATTTATTCAAGAGGATGTGTGACGAAGGTGGAATCACGCATATAAGGACTGCTCCGTACCACCCTCAATCGAATGGACAGGCAGAGCGTTTCGTTGATACGCTGAAACGCGGAATCAAGAAACTAGAGGGGGAGGAGAGGCCAACAGAAGAGACTCTGAATGTGGTGTTACAAGCGTACAGGACAACACCAAACACGAACTTGAACGACAAGACGCCAGCAGAATTGTTTCTCGGCAGAAACTTGCGCACAAAATTAAGTCTGCTATCACCGATGACAGAAGATGCAGAAGACCCGCTCGCACGAAGAAGACGAGAGCGCATGAAGGACCAGTTTGACCAGAAGCATGGAGTCGTTCCAAAAGATTTCGAAGTTGGTGACCTGGTATATGCCAAGCAATGGAAGCCACCCCACTTCCATTGGATGAAAGGAACAGTGATGAGACGTATTGGACGCGTCAACTATGAAGTAATGGTTGGAAATGAGATGTGCAAGAAGCATGCAAATCAGCTACGGCATCGAAGCGATAGCGAACAGCTCGCCGTGCGACAACAACTTCATCAACAGTCCGAAACCTTGAAGATACTCCTAGATGTTTTGACAGAAGACGACACTGTACGGAAGAATAGCAGTACAGCCGACGAGAATTCCGAGCAAGCGATCGCAAGCGATGTGCCAGCACCCGTGGATTCAACGACATCGACGTCGACAACAAGCCACGAGCCCTCCACGCCACCGACAACGCTTCGCAGGTCGAGCAGAACGAGAAGACCGGTACAACGGTTCCAACCTAGTCCATAGGATGTTATTGTATATTTATTTATTAGTTTTGTAGTTGTTGATCAGTTGTTTTCTCGTATGATCTGCCCTCGCTGAGGCGCCTGCGACCTCAATGCGCGGGAAATGAGCGCTATAAAAGGCGCTCGCTGTTAGCCATTGCCGAATTTTTCGACTCTACCAAAATTCTAACCATGGAGTTGCAAAAATTGCCTAAATAATGCAGTGTTGTCAATAGATTACTTCTGCATGGTTCTTTTGTATGATTTAGATGTATCCCCGGAAGCTCAGGCGAGAAATTCAACGTTGTCGTCGATGTTGGACAAAAAATCAGATCCGGATTTACGGTGGCTCATGGCGAGACTTTTATGGAAGCTATGCGATCGGTGTTTGACTACCATGTCATCATTGTCGATAGCATTAATCTCTAAAGACGTCAGTGGAGGATAACACAAATCTCTTCCTAACCAGGGAGGACGTTGCGAGACTTCCTACGCATGTAAATAAGTGCCACTCAGTGTTGTATTAGCCATTTGTATCTAAAAAAAACTGTAGGGTAGCAATGGAATTTCTCTCAAAGCTCGCATCTATGCTCTAATCCCAATCTCAGTGCTCTGAAATAAATACATGCTACCAAGTCCCACCTCAAATGCTCAATAATGAGAGTTGGACTTGATAAAGAATGATCGATGAATTAGCATGTGTCACTCATAATAGTTATTATATGTACATAATTATGTTTAGATTAGTGTTTATGTGCTTGTTCTCCGAATAAAGATTTTTTGTAATTGCCCAGAGGTTCGCGATCAGAGATTTTTCAACAATTTATGATTTGCAAGCTACAAAAAGAAGAAATTGTGGGCAAACATCCACCCTTCAATTCGCTGAAAACCCGGACGATTTGAATAAAAGATAGCTGTGAGGATGATTTAGAGACAAATTAGAAACCGCAAAATTTCGTGACCATCAGTGTTCTTCCATTTAAATTCCGAGCAGTTGTAACACTTTCGAATATTTATACGTTAAAGGCATTTTTTTCGAAATCGGTACCCTCTGAGGCAGTACTCACATTCAGGAACTACTTTGGATCCCAAAGCAAGCGTTTACCAGCCTTTCAAAGAATTTTCTGAGATGCATTATAGAACACGGGTTTACAATATGTACCAAAGCTTTGGAAAATTTACTCAAAGCGGAATTGATCTTTTTCCCTGAACTGATTTGGAAATTGCAAAGTCATGAGCTTGCGAGAATGTGGAAAGCATCCCAAAAGTTTTCTCCGTTGAAGTAGAGATCTACTCCAATCAGTAAAAAAAACCTGTGACACTTTGGTTTCTTCGATATCAGCGACTCTTGATATAGAAATGAAGTATATTTTGAACTTGAGGCAAGATGAGCTGCACCTCGATTTTTGCGGGACCTTACCTGCACCACCCCCACAATGGTCGGTCGCCTCATCATGGCGTGGGGGTGACACTGGGTGTCGAACTGCGATGCACAGCCGAGTGTATACTCTGGTAGGCCTCCCAAGCTGTGAAGGAGTTCGACGTTTCCGGTTTCTGCCGGATGCCTTCTCTGACATTCGGTGCGTGCGGCGCGCGCTTGTTAATGGCCAGCAGTGCGGCCCGCGCGCCTAGATTTACGGGCGGGGTCATGTACCGTGCGGCCCGCGCGCAATACAGGGTGTCCCAAAAGTATGTATCGAACGTTTGATCGTTAATAACTCTCTTCCCAAGAAGTCTTTTGCCTTGCTTCAGGTACCTTTTGTAGAGCTGGCTTCAACTTAGATTTGCAGTATAGAACGAATCACTCATTTCTCTTCATTACTGTAGGATTACGGTAGAAACTTCAAGGAGGGTTTTAAGCAATGAAAGGCCATATTTTGCCCCAGAAAGGAAACAAAACAGCCTTAAAACTTTTACACTAGGCTAATTAGAGTTGCTGATTATAACTGTAAAGTTCCCAACTTATTATGATGCTTCATTGAAGAGTTATGCCAGGTAAGAAGTAGCGGCCATTTCTTCAATGTTCCTAAAAAGTGGGATTGCACCGTTTAGAAAGCTTCGTAATCTTGTGAATAGTTAATTATTGAACTCAGCGTCCATAAAAACCCTATTACACAAGTTTTCACGATTTTTTGAAAAATTTTGAAACGGCAGCTTTTTTTACATTAACACCATATGTTTCAAGTTTCTACCGTAATCCTACAGTAATGAAGAGAGATGAATGATTCGTTCTATAGTGCAAATCTAAGTTAAAGCCAGCTCTACAAAACAGTACCTAAAGCAAGGCAAAAGACTTCTTGGGAAGAGAGTTATTAACGATCAAACGTTCGATACATACTTTTGGGACACCCTGTATATTCTCCCCGTGCCGCCCGCGCGCCTCCAATTCTCACACGCTGTAAGCGTAATAGGTACCCGCGTGAGGTACGACGCTATGATTAGAGGTTATCCCTCGACAGCGTTCCGAATGGGTGCTGAATTTGAATTTTGAATTTTTGAATTGAAATTCAAATTTTCGAATTTTTTGAATTCGGATTTTTTTGAATTGTGAAGTTGAGAATGCTCACGGCACGACGAAAGAAGAAAAAGAAGATCTATGAAAGAGACTTATTCTCTAGTAGCTTGCGGACGGAGCGCTTTCGATACCGTGCGGCCCGCGCGCATTCACCATTCGGCCCTCGTGCATTCACAGTTCGGCCCGCGCGCACGGAGCGTTCGGCCCCCTCGCACTACAAGGCGCCGCACGGGGAGCACGCGCACGGGGAGCACGCGCGCGCCGCACGGACCGAATGTCAGAGCTAAGAACCGGCCACGCCAGATCTCCCGCCGTCTGGCTTCTTCTAGTCGCTAGGCGGTCCCTCCCCGCTCCAAGTCCGGGGTCAGCGATCGCCCCGTGGAAATCAAGAGTAGGCTTAGTAAGCTACCTCTTGTAGGGGAAAATTCATATTACTCCTCCAGTTAGAAGATTAGAAAGAAACCCTGCACATCGTTTCCCGCTTACGGCGCCGGGTGGTAGCAAGAACGATGTCAGGGTACTCAGGGCGCCTTTCGGATTGGACAAAAACGACACGTCTGCTCAGACGACACGCCATGGAGACTGCCTCATGCTCTGCACCTACAACGCCAGGACAGTCTCCACAAACGCCGATCTCCACGCTCTTCTCGACGCTGCAGAGCACATCAACTATCACATCATCGCTCTGCAGGAAACGAAGTCCAGGAAGAAGGACGTGCGACAGATGAGTGATGAGACCCTCATCATTCGTGGTGAAAAGGTTCCATCACGAAACGTGGGAGGCGTCGGCTTTGTCGTCCACCCATCTATCGTCCATCTTGTCGATTCGCACGAGTTCCTATCACCTCGACTAGGCATCCTACGACTACGCCCTCCACGTCAGAAGACCATCAGCATCATCAACTGCTACTCGCCAACATCAGCAGCTGACGACTCAGAACATGATGCTTTCTACGAAGACGTGGAGGAGGTCATCCGCAACGAAAAGTCCTTCTACAAGTATGTTGTGGGCGACTTCAATGCGAAAATCGGGATGCCACTAGAAAAGGAATATAGGATCGGAAAGTTTAGATATGGGCTCCGAAACGAAAACGGCAACCGTCTCGTTGGGCTTCTCTCCGCCGCACGACTCTTCCATGGAAACTCCATCTTCATGAAGAAAGAATATCGCCGGTGGACTTGGGAATCGCCCAAGGGAACGACTCATGCTGAGATCGACCGCATTCTCACCAACCGAAGGTGGAGCTTACTCGATGTCTCTATAGTTCCATCCTTCTGTAGTGGCTCCGATCACCGCCTCCTTCGAGCGAAGATACGACTCAGCCGAAGGCTGGAAAAGAAAGTCTGTCATAATGCAGCGAGAAGGAAGGAAGTCGTTTATGACGGTAACAGGCTGGAAGAGCTCATATCAAGTTGTGACTGGCCCATCGAGGAGGACCCAACGTACGACTACGACCGGCTTCTGAAAGGATTGCGAGCCTGCGGAGAATGCGCCTCAGTGACTTCTGAGAAGAACTTGGAACGGATTTCGAAGACCACCCAGGAATTGCTCGAAAGAAGAAGATTTTTGAGGCAGGATCCGAATGCAACCCATCTCGAGCGACTGATAGCCAACGCCAGTTGCAGAACAGCTTTGCAAGAGGATCTTAGGAAGTACAGGCAAGCCAAGATACTGGAAGCAGCCGAAAGAAGACGAAGTCTCAAGAAGTGCCGAAGGGACCTCTGCGAATATCACGTACCGCTGGATGCACTACTGAACGAAGACGGGACTTCGACCTCTTCCCGATACAAGATGAAATCTATCGCGAAAAACTTTTACACCAACCTCTTCCGCTCATCAACGCCCGTGCAGATGCCCGTTGTTCCCACTGGAGAAGTACCATGACGAATTCTATCTGCTGAAGTGCGTATCGCGATACAGACCATGAAGACGTCCAAGGCTTCAGGACCAGATCATCTTTCCGTCGAACTTCTGCGAGCCGGAGGGCACCGTCCACACGAGATTCTAGCGTCGCATTTGACATCTTAACTTCAGAAGGAGAAGATTCCCGACCAGTGGAGAACGTCAAGAACCTTCCTTCTCTTCAAGAAGGGTGAACGGGAGGATCTTCGCAACTATCGTCCAATATGCCTGCTGAGTGTTCTGTACAAGCTTTTCACGAAGATTATCCTCGCTCGCATATCAAGGACACTGGATGAAGCCCAACCCCAAGAACAAGCTGGATTTCGCAAAGGATTCAGCTGCATGGACCACATCCAGACCGTTTCGAGGGTCATAAAAGTCTGCCGCAAGTACCGACTGCCTCTCGTCCTAACCTCGACTACGAGAAAGCTTTCGACAGCGTCGAAACCAACGCCATCCTGTCAGCGCTAGTCGATCAAGGAGTGGACCCAGCCTACGTGAGGACACTAGCCAACTGCTACAAGGACTGTACAACAACGATGCAGCTGTTCCATCGCCCCCTGACCATACCAATCGGAAAGGGGGTCCGACAAGGCGACACAATCTCGCCGAAGCTGTTCACCGCGGCCTTGAAGTGGTTGATGAAGTCACTGGATTGGGACGAGAGAGGCATACAAGTTGATGGGAGATTCCTGTCCAACCTTCGTTTTGCGGACGACATCGTTCTCTTCTCGAGCAGTATCCCGAAGCAGAGACGATGCTGAAGGAACTGAACGAAGTAGGGAAGAAGATCGAACTGCGAATAAATCGTAAGAAGACTCAGTTCATGAGGAACGCCCTTTGCTAAGATGCAGAAATGAAATTGGAAGGCACCCCTATTATGGAGACGTCTTCTTACGTGTATCTCGGACTTTCGATGAACATGGAGAACGACCTGAGGGAAGAACTTAACGGGAGAAGAAGAGCAGCCTGGGCCGCTTTTGGGCCTCTGAAGGAAGCCACCGACCAATTGACGGACCCGGAGCTTCGTGCCCATCTGTTCGACTCAACCGTTCTCCCGGCGCTCTGTTACGCAGCTGAGACTTGGGCCGACACTGTAGCCACGTCGAAAGTTTACGGACCACCCACAGAGCGCTCGAGCGCAGTCTTCTGAAGATGACCCGACGCGAGCAACATCTAGTCGGACTTCGCAGCACGGATATGAGAAGAATGTCCCGTCTTCGTGACCCAGCGGAATACGTTGCGAAAGCCAAACACCGATGGGCCGGTCACATAATGAGAAGAACAGACGACGGATGGACACTAAGAACATCTGAGTGGTTTCCTCGCGAAGCCAAACGTCCTCGAGGAAGACCACCGACGAGATGGGCAGACGTATTCGTGGAACGGATGGACCAGCTGAGAAATCAGCTGGATACGACTTTCGCCCCGGGAACTCGTGGACGCAGCCACCGACGACGGCCAAGAAGATCGTGGATGTCTGAAGCGAGGGACAGGGAAAATGGCAACTTCTGTACTGGGGCCCGCACGTCAAGTGAGGACGGGCCATCTAAGTTTTTAAGTAAGTTACCTGCACCATAGTACTCTAACCCTGATTACTGATAGACGGGAAATATGAAACAAGTTACGAGTTTTGCAAATGAAAAATAACAATGATGCGGGAGTTTTCGATATCCTTTTGCAAGTGATTTCGCACTATTCAGAGCTAAGAAATATACCGGTAGTGCAGCTTCCCCGGTATTCTTTCAAGAAAACGATATACCCAGTGTACCCTAATCTAAATTGACTGGGCACTTTTCCATACCAAAGCTTTGTATCGATTTGTGCGATTTGAACATCTCAATGAACATTTTTCTTTATTATTTGAGTTATGAAACCATGTCTATATAGCTCATAGATTAATACATTTCTTCATGCTGTATCGCCAAACAGAAGTGGTAACCAGACGAAGATGTCGACGAACTGCACAACTGTTAGTGCCATTAGCAGAAAACTTAACACTAGCAGCAACAATGTGACAATGTGACAGAATTTTAGCATGGTCTGTAATGAATAAAGTTCTTATAAGCTCAAAATTATGTTAGGCTTGAATCACAGATGTGAGAGAAGTCTTACAGGCTCTTTATAAGGCTTGATGTCCAGCATAAATGGCTTCTCTTCTAGCTTTTTGTCTTTTTCTTTATCCCTCGATCTTGACATTTTCTCTAGAAAATATTGGGTTCATAGTCTATAGCCAACCATGAGAAGTTTGCCAGCCAAACCTACCATCACTGATTGCGCCGCCTGTCAAAGTGGCGCGTTCATGGTCAGAACTGAGATCTACATCATCGCCTGGCCTAAAATAACGGGTATTTGAGAAGATTCGTAGAAGCATACTCATACATACCTCAGAGCATAGTTGCGATAGGGGGAGTGATGGATCTTACCCCCTTCACTTTGAGGCCAAACTCCCGATGACCCCCTTCACCTGGGCCGAGATTGGTATTGTACTCTGAGAATATGATAAAAATCGTCATTAAAAGGTTTTGCAGGCTAAGTACCTCAAGCAACAAGTACAATCATAAATTTACAAAAGAAACGGTATTTATGTTTATTTATATTATTTATTTATCCTCGGTTCATTTGGAGAGCAGAAAGTGAGGACAAAAAATCAGTTGGTTTTTGGAGAATATAAAATCCCTCATATCTCGCGGCACAGAAGACCTAGAAAAAAGTCGACGGTCTACGTCGATTCTCCATGATCTCAGCTTTCGAATGGTATACAGCATGTTAGGGCTTCTTTGCTTTTCGGCTCTAAATATCGTTTGCTCCGGTGACCCATAAAAGCCAACACATTGTATAGGTCGTCCCGAAAGCTCTTGCGCACGATTTTCAAAAATTCATAACTTTTGATTTTTCTAACCGATTTGACTGCTTTCACTTTAATGTGAAAGGGTAAGTCATGCTCTTTATAATGACATCTCAGTGCTTACTAACGGTCATCTGTTGCATAGATAAGAGGGATAGAAAAATATTGGTCAAAATTTGAATTTTCTGTGTAAGGTCATAAAAAATCGGAGACTTGCAACAAAAATCGGAGCAGTCAGTTTTGTAGGCTCCTTCACCAGCTCTTTCCAACAGTGCAAAGTTTGCGCTGATTGAGGGTCTCTATGAAAAGTTATGATTTTCGAGCAAGCAATACAAAAGGGCGAATTTGGTTTATTTTGGCATTTTTCAAGAAATCATAACTTTTCATAAAGACGCTCTATCGGTGCAAACTTTGTACTGTTAGAGAGAGCTGGTGAAAGAACCTACAATACTGACTGCTCCGATTTTTGTTGCAAGTCTCCGATTTTTTATGACCTTACACAGAAAATTCAAATTTTGACCATTTTTCTTCTATCGCTCCTATCTATGCAGCAGATGATCTTTACTAAGCACTGAGATGTCATTATAAAGAGGATGACCATTATAAAGAGGATACCCTTTCACATAAAAGTGAAAGCAGTCAAATTGGTTGGAAAAATCAGAAGCTATGAATTTTTGAAAATTGTGCGCAAAAACTTTCGGGACGACCCAATAAGAACGAGGTGGAGCAAGTTAATAGTAAAAATGTGCTATGGACCCACATCGTTATCAGCACTAATGGGAACGTGAGCTAACGCATCTATTTAAGCGTGCTTATTGTTGTTGTATGTTTATTTTTGGTTAGAAATGCGCTTTTGATTGAAAGTTATGCCATCATTATTAGCACACACTCAAAAAACTATGGAAGATTGGTGAATTTCCACACCTTCACACAAAAATCCGCCCATTTCTGGAATCTATACTCTGTAAACCTAGTGCTGAAGAAGGTCACTTTCGTGAAAACGCTCTAGACTCACCTTACCTAATTTGTAGAGAATGGTTGGTTTCAATGAATCAAAAACTACAAGATATTCAGAAGAATAACATGTTATCAAAATATCCCTCAATGTTGGAAAGGTTGGCAGTTTGAAGAGGAAACGGCAGGCAGAATAATTCACAAAATCGCAGATGACTCGCATGTGTTCCAGTTCAACAGCGAGGCAGAAGGAGAATCTTATGCCGACGAAAATGTTGTCGACATTGATACAGAGTCGACAATTGAGCGAAACTCTCTGATTTCCTACATAAGGAATCCAAGCAGATTGCCTAGTTTCAATGAGAATGTCCAGGAAGTCCATTGCTGATCTTCAGGTTAGTAAAGACTTCAAAGCTGCTAAATTCACGAATATGGATATGAACAAAAGAAAGGTGTTAGTACAAAGCATAGCTACTGCTCTTAGATTCCGACTGGAGTACGAACTTACTGTGCTTTATGCTGCTGGAAGTATCTCGCCTTGTGACATTATGACCTATGATATTGAAAAAAAAACCAACGCGCAGCATAGTATCTACTTTTTTCGGCAATTCCGCAGATGCTGTTGAAGAAGAAGTTGAGCAGCTTTCTCGCCAGCCAACAAGACGTATGCCAGAGGAAGTGAAGCCAGAGTTTGACAAGGCTCAAAAAGTATGCAATATTCCCTTCTTGTGTTGCGAAAGCATATGCAATCTCGCTCTTTCCCCATTACTTACCGCAAAAATCTGATGGACTTACTAGCAAAGCTAGTTTCCATTCCGACTAGCTCGGCAGAGGTGGAGAAAGAAATTTTCTATCCTCTATTATCAGATCACAACGCAGAAGTCGTACAACGATGGAGCATCTAAGCAATTACTTAATTTGTCAACCTTCTACTGAACATATTGTTATCTAAAAACTTCATTCAAAGGATTGGTATAAGCGGTCCATACAGGCTATTACCGTATGACTTTTTGAAATATCTTAAAAGATGGTATGAAGAAACTGGTCACCTACCTGCGGACTTTCCTGGTGCTACCAGAGGGCCAGGAAAAAAATCACAAAAGCGCTTAGAAAAAGAAAAAAGTTTCAAATCCATTTTCGACTCAGAACGCTTTTGCACGCAATTCTACTTCTACTCCGATGACCTTTTGGAGGAAGAAGAAGATTTTTCAGACAGCGAACTTGTTGCCTCTGACGTTAGCGATAGTGATGTTGTTGATGATGATGTGCAGGAATTGAAGTTGTTCCTAACTTGTACATCTTTTGGGGTAAACCTTATTGCTTTCGTTTTTTGTTGATGCGATGAAACAGAAGCACAGATCTTCATAGAGTCAATTTTTAAAATTTTTAATTTCTTTCAAAATTTTTAAATTTTTTTTCAATTTGTGCCTAAATAAGGTGCAAACTAGAGCTCTTCATACCACGCTTTTTTACCTTTTCTCTCTTCCTCCTCCCCCCCCCCCTAGACTCACATACCCCCTTCACCCTGGAAGGTCGGGAACAGCCGAGACCCCCTTCACCTGGGGAGAGCCCGGCTCCCCCTATCGCACCTATGCCTCAGAGCAAATTGACCCACAGTGTTGGTTTTTGTTTTCGCTTCATCTCTTGGTTTCGTCTCAGCTGGAGGCGGCGGCGGCGGTGGTGGTGCAGGCGCCGCTCCGCTAGGTCCAAGTTGCTCGTAGCTATCTTCACCTTCTTTATACATAGCTGCTTGATTGAGTGACCCTATGCAAATGGACTTCACTAACATAGGGATCTCAAGAGTCAACATATTTGCGCACCTGTTTATGACAAAAAGTGTCGAGCAATCACGGCACATTTCATTCAACAGTTGCTATCAGTGCAACTGTGCTTCAATGCATAAGATCATTAGCGCTGTTTATGAAATGTTTTACATCCATCTGTTTTACATCCTGAGATGCGTTCCCAGCACTTACTAGTTCTGTATGGATGCATATACTGTGCTGCTGTAATAGTTTTACAGGTCTACCTGGTCTCGCACTGCAAGGAGCTGCTTGCCCAATCGCTTCCTACTCGTCTTTTGCGCCACCCCCGTTGACGTCTATGAAGCATGTAGGCGTCTCATTCCTCAGCCCAAGGCTCGTCCCTCTCCTTATCTATTTACTAGCTTGGCTACCCGGCTCCGCCCGGCCCTGTCAAAACACTGTAATGAAGGTCCCATCCCTGTACAGCCTTTTCCTGTGCCCTGTGTTCTTTTCGAAATCAGCATGCCCACTTGCCCCCTTTGCCAATTCCCAGTCTCGTAGGTGAACTCTGCAAAAAAAATGGTTAACGCTAATCGATAACGATCGATAATGAAAAGTAGCCTATGACACGCTCTCTGCCCCGAAGTGTATGTGTGCCAAGTTTGGCCCAAATCGGTTTGGAAATAAAAATTTCTATTCAGCCCATACGTACGTACAGACAGACAGACAGACAGACAGACACACATTCAGCTTTATGCACAAAATTCAGGCTCTAAGTTTGACGAAATTTCAGCCACATAAACATGCTCTCACCTTCTGTAATTTTTGTTTGAAAAAAGCGATCAAGCAAGATCTTTTTGGATTGGTAGAATGTTGTTTGGATTGGTTCCTTAGTGCGGGAATGGACTCGAACTTAGAATAGGAAGAGCGAAGCAATTGAAACATCTTAGCATGTTAACAAACTTTGAGGACGATTAACATCAGGGGAGCAGGCAGTGGTCCCGCTGCCGTATGACAGAGATACTACAATGTGGCCATTTTTAGCGTCACATTTTTCATTGCAAAGTTCTTCGTAAAAAAAAGGAGGTTATCTAAAATAAATACTACATGTCAAAGGTAGCGGTATCTTATCGTGTCACATTTCTACAAGTGTGACAGGCTCCTGCACATACATACGCTTCAGCAGCTCATCATGAAGCTAATGCGTCAAGTGCTATGTAAAGAATGCACCCATTGCGAACCGTAATGACAATCCTGGAACCCCATGGTTCACATGAGGTTTTGTAGAGTGCAGTCTAAGGCCCCGGACAGACTTCACGCGATTTGATCGTCGCGACTCAATCGCCGACATTTTCATTCATTTTCATTTCACATTCAAAAATTTCCGGCTGGAAAAGTATCACAACTGAAATGCAAGTTGATCGGCATGGAATGATGTTGTAACAGCTGTCTCGTCGCGACTCAGTCGCGACGATCAAATCGCGTGAAGTCTGCCCGGGGCCTAAGGAATAACATGCTGCCGTAAAGTAGTTATTCCTCTTCTCCATAACAAAATACGGTACCATAAGCATGGTGCTGACCGACGGCGCCGCAGCGTTTTCTAAGTGTAAGCTGACTTTGGGGATCCTTTTGGCTAGAACACTTCAATTTATGCAATTCTCATATATCTTAATATAGAAGCTGTCCATATGCTATAGCAGTGGTTGTCCCAGGATTTCCGTCCCGGAAGCGGCTGCGGCAAAAATTCTTTACAAATAAAGGTGCTCCGAAATAATTTTTGGGGTGCTCCTTAAAATTTTTTCGGGCCCATGGCAACGAAAAAATTTTTTACAGGGCTTATTTGAATTTTTAAAAAGTTTTAAAAATTATTTCAATTATTTTCAAGTATAAGCGGTCATTTGCACATTTTTATAACTCACTTCAGTAAGTTTCAAAAATTTCGCGACCCATTCTCAAGGTGGGGGGGGGGGCTCGGACCGCCACTGGTAGCCATAGGTATGTTAAAGGCACCGTCCACCCAGATTTTCGACTTCCACGTTTTTGTCTTTCAGGGCCTTCTCATGTCCCAGATCCCGAATATGAAGTCGAGAATGCGCGAAAACACCGACAATCCGTTCCGGAAAGCCACAGGCCAGCATTCCGGAACGGTGATTGGGTGGACTCGCACAAGTGGGCGGGCATGGAGGGAGGTCCTCGTGCATCTTCGCTATTCCGAAGCAATTTTGTCGCTTCCGAAGCGGCACTTTGCGCCGCGACTTCGGCATAGGATTGATAGGGGGCCCTACTATCATAACTTATAATAACGGGCTAAGGGTTGTTTACGTTTGTGTGTGTGTGTGTGTGTGTGTGTGTGTGTGTGTGTGTGTGTGTGTGTGTGTGTGTGTGTGTGTGTGTGTGTGTGTGTGTGTGTGTGTGTGTGTGTGTGTGTGTGTGTGTGTGTGTGTGTGTGTGTGTGTGTGTGTGTGTGTGTGTGTGTGTGTGTGTGTGTGTGTGTGTGTGTGTGTGTGTGTGTGTGTGTGTGTGTGTGTGTGTGTGTGAATCTCTGTCTGTCACGAAATTCGTAGAGCGTGTTCCAGCCAACGTCCTGAGCCCAAATTTTGCATAACGCACGCTACCAGCATGAAAGCTCACTATGCGAAAGCATGAGCGGATCCGTTGAGTGGATCCATTGAAAATTGCGCGTCAAACGGATCCACTTGGCTTCTGGCCAGCAAATTTGGGTCCGTAGTACTACTTTTTGTAGAGTTAAGAATATATTTGACAAGCTATTGTGCAAGCCGTGGACGTTAGCCTAAAAAAGTAATGAAAAGCCTACTACTTTACGAAAACAGCGCCAAAAAGCATTCGCTGTGTAAACGGCCAATTTTTCAAGATTTTACCTGATCATTTGAGAAGATTTTTGCACAGAGATGTAGCCCACTATGTTTATTGTCCTTACGGCGACTGTCAAACCATAAAAATTCCAAAAACCTATTCGAGTTTGCAACTGTTCTTCTGGGAAAGATTTTATCCACGCGAAAATACCGATCCCACATGGAAAACGTCTACGAATGAGTAGTTGTTTACGAATTATTCGTGATAGCCTACATAGTGCGGTGAGTTTCATTGTCATTATTATGCGGGAATGAGTAAGGCATACAGAAAATAGGGCCAGTGCGAGCCTCTGCGAAGCAGAGGTGACGCACTGGTTATGTATATGCTGCCAAAGCTCAACACCCTCAACTTACGGTGGACGGTGCTTTTAACCGTCATGATAATATCCCCGGAAAAAAGATATATTACAAGTTGTAACGCCCATACTTACGGGCCATTCTGTAGTACTTTCGAGACACTTGCTCGCACTAGGCGTAGGACCGTAGTGATAGCTTTCGTTATGAGTATCTATTCTCGTAATCTATGACATTGAGATAAAAAGCTAAATCCTTTCAGGTTGGCTTCGGCTTGGGTTAGGTGCGCAGTGGGTAGGTCGCGTCGTTCATAGAGCATATTTCCTCGGATAACAGCCATTGCTTATAATCCAACGATTACTCACTTGTCCGTACTGTGCGTAAGTAAGCACGCATGTGTCGAAGCTTTTCGACAACATTTGAAACCAAACAAGGAGCTTGTAAATCTTTAACACATTGACAACCATGCAGATTTTTAGTTGTCTGCCATTTGGGAACAAGACCTTTTTGCGGACCAGCCCACTTTTTCAACCATAATTACGTATACTGCCATCTACAGTACACTTACAGTAGATCTAAAAGGCTGACAAAAAAAGTAGAAGTCATTTCTAGATTCTGTGCAAAAGAAAGCTCATGGAGTGAGTTTATTTCAGGTTAGCAGTCATTTTACCAGAATGCAAGCCTTGACACACATGGTGTGTCAAGCGGTCCCAGGCGGTAGTCATTGCTTGACACACCATGTGTGTCAAGCGGTCGTCAATGTGTTAATATTGGCACTTTGCTTTATGTATCGACATAGTTTTATCATAAACTTTCATTTTATAACAAGCCATGCAAAAATCTGTCACAGTGCTGACTTGATATCAGTTCTACTAGTGGCTTGATGATTTTGAGGAACCGGTCACACAATCGAAAAACATGCAGGTGTATGTCTAAAAAGTGATGTTTGAGTTAGCATGCAAGTATATTTATAAGTTAAATCCCACAACAATCTGTATAGAACAACAAGACACTAAAAGCTGATCCATTAAATTAAAAAAGGTTCGAAGTGAAAACAAAGATATGATGTGATGTTACGGAAGTGAAATGAAGAGCGATTCGTACTACAAAGAGCCGCCTCGATTCGGATGCGTAAATGTGAAGTTGCTGGTAAATCGGAAGTCGCGACGCGTTATGAATTTCTCCCTCAACATTTTCAATATTTATCCGAATAGTCTGAAAATCGTGACAGAGGCCATTATGCCGCAACAGTATCCATTAATATCCATCTCCCCTTTTGTGAGTGGATCTACTGCGCGGGCTACGGATTCCAGGCATAGCCGGTGGGGCTTGCAAAAAAATAGGCTCTTGTGTGACTAGTTAGTTTTCTACTTTGTTGATGGGTAACATTTGAAAATTGCTCTTTCTCTTTTACTACTCGTTACCATCGGTACAATTTTAACTCACATTCATTGGATCGACTGGAAACTGGGATTTCGTAAGTGTTTCAGAAATTCCAATCTTGCCTAGGCTTTCTTGTGGTAGGCTAAGAGATTTCCGTTTTTTGTTTTTGGTTTTTACCACCCTCCAGCATTAACTTTTTCTGTTTCTCAGAAAATAAGAACGACTCGAGTGTTTCAGGTACCGCGCGATGTCTCGCTTGGTTCGTACCGCATTGGATTGCGGCTGCCGCAGGTTTTGAGGGGGGGGGGGGGAGTGCCGCAGGCCATTAACTATATCAAAAAAACATTTTTAGCGGACAATATTTACATGGATCGATAGCCTAGATCACCTAGTTTCCACAGGAGTGATTTGAGCCTGATTCGTCTTCTTAGCTCTGAGTAATATTTGGTGAAAGCACAGCGATCAAAAGCGAAAAATGGGAAAAACGAGATTTTGATTGGCTTCTAATTCAATAGTTTGGAGGTCTTCTAAAGCGGAATTCCTGAGGTGGACAAAGAAGGAGTAGAGCTTTGTATTGAGTGCAAGAAGAGGTAGCTTACTCACCGTTAAGATGAAGTTAATCATGTTTTAAATTACTGCTTTATACAAGGTTGTTTACTGCTCGGAGACCTCAGAGTTCGCTGAAACTTGGCGCATAGGGGTTATTCGACACGCGGATTACGACAATTATGCTTGATTAGAGGTACGGTAGGTTACGGTAGGCATACGGTATCTGCAAGTTTGTGTCGTTGAACTTGAATTTTGCAGGATTTTAACAGCGCTTTCATCAAGTCAATTTAGTCACACAGCTTGTACAAGTGCTTTTGACCTTGGGTCGATACGACCCCCTACCTACCCCCCCCCCTACGACCCCCCGCCCCCTGCGGCGTGCCGCACCCCCCGCTTTTTTGGTTGGAAACTAAGTTTTGCAACTGGTCTCATAACTTCCCTCTCACTCAACCTGGCGCACTCAAATTTTGCCACTGCGTTGGTTATTATGTAAGTTACAAGCGCAGCTGCTGTCCTACCAAAATCTGACGTCGCAGTGAGGGTTACGGTAAGTGCATGGCATGAAAGGGAAAAATTCAAAGTTTGACGGATTTGGCTGAAACTTGGCATAGGGGTGTTATCCGACATGCTGATCGCGAAAACGATAGTGAAATTGCGTGATAAGGGCTTTTTTATAGGATTAATGTAGGTGTACGTTATGCGGTCTCATCCTAAACAAGGAAAAAGGCATTGATTCAACAAATGAATGTGATATTCGCGTTTGGCAGGTCAAATAACCTTACTATGTAAAGTCTCGGCGGAATTTGAGCTTCGGACTCTTTAGTTATTGACGGTCGTCCCAACAGCTCTTGCGTACATCGACTCGTTCGAATTTATGAGGACGCCAAATCTCGACATGCCCTACATTTTGTTTCTTTCTTAAGCCAAAGGAGTCAACCTCCAGCAATAATTTTTAGACGAATCCGGATTACTGCGCATGGTCTAGGCTGCCAAAGGCTTCATTTTAGCTTGAAACCCCAAAAATCCTCCATTCACTAGTTTTCGAAAAACGCCTGAAACTTTTCTATCTCGTGTTCAAAATTTAGACAATTTGTGCTCGCTTGTAGCTCACACTGCCTTCTACATAATGCCAAAGTTTGAGTGCGCCATATCCAAAGAGAGTGAAGTTATGAAACCAGTTGCAAAACTTAGTTTCCAGCCTAATAAAACAAGAACAGTTGGAACGCCTGCAAAATTTTTTACGGAAATTGCCTGAATCATGATTCTCTTTTCTACGATGATCTAGCAAGATGTCATTGAGAGTTCGGCGAAAATATGGGCAATCACCAGAATTGTGATAAAGAGCAAATGTTTTGTTTGACGAAAGTTATACCTTGTATGATTTGCAAAGTCTGGAAAGAGCTACTGAGGGGGTTATCAGTCATACCAAATGTTGATTTCTTACACATGTCATTGGTCGAATAACTACTGCGGAACGGGTTTTAAATAATAAATAGCAGTAGGCACACGTTAGTATTCGAAAATACAATTTTGAAATTTTCGGCGGACAGTAATGCCCCACTAATTTTACACAATATTCCTTTTCATTCTCTGAGGCTACAACATTAAGAGGTTAAAACTGGCCGACATGTAAAAAAACAGGAAGACTTCATGAAATTAGAAAGATTCTCTGGACTATGCGGTTTTGTACGACTGACAACAGTGACATTGGACCGTTTTTGAATCAAGCAGCTGTGAGGTCATAAACAAATTTTAACTTCCTTTCATTTATTATTGGGCGTTCACTCTACTGTATACACAACTTTTTTGTGCTTTGGGTTTTTCCTCTCATTACAATCGTAACTTATTCTGACAAGGAACTTTTCTAACGTGACGTATCTTTTAAGCTATGGTAAGTAATGGTTAAAAGTTCTTTCCGGTTGTTTTGATTCAGAATGTTAAACATGAGTCTTTTCTCAGTTTTTCATTGACTCGTACCTGCTAACCTAATGCCTCGGGCAGAGTCACGCGATTTCATCGCCGCGATTTCTTCCCACAAGGCAAACAGTTACGAGTTTACTGCATTCCGATCATCTTGCATTTCGGTGATAGTTAGTCACGACTGATCGTGTTGGAGAACTATCACAACCGAAATGCAGGATGATCGGCATGCAATGAGCTCTGAGTAAACTAGCAAATGTGAATCACTATTGTCTAAACATAACCCATACTAAATGATCTATGAATGCTGATTAAGACTTGAAAAACCCAGAGTTCGCACAATGCTTACGAATCCCTCTCGCTCTAAATATAAAAGTGAAATAAGTGCTTAGTCTCAAAAATAATCTTGAGTTATATAGCGTAAAATCACTTTAGTTTATTAAGAGATGTAAATTGAAGTCTTTTTAATAATTGTTTTGATAAGCTTATTTCTCAACGAGGAGAATGAGTGAATTATTATTTGTTCGAGTTTAGAAACAAACCACGGGCATGTTTTTTCATTTATTACTTTCGAAACTGAGCGAACCACTGGTGTAAATGTATGATGAGAAGTAGTTTTAGTGCTTCGATTTTTCCTTGTTAATGACAAAAAAATGTTCATCTTACCTCATTGAGTATTTTGCTTCTCTGTAGTTTATCAAGAATTTACAATAACACTGTACTTTTAAGGGATGTGGGCAACGGTGATTGTGTTCTCCGCTATCGTGACTTTGGTTAACGCTGCCGCATGGAATGTTCGGGCCCATGTAAGGAACGCTCTTGAAGTACACGCTTATTTGAATATTTTGTGATTAGGTTGGCCAAAGCGTAGCACTTAATATTGGACCTGGTGTTGTGACATGGAAAAGGCAAAGACCAGGGTACCCAGCCGAGTACATTGAGTATTGTGAGCCAGAAGATAAAAGGGCTATATGCGGTCAATTTGTCACAGCGGTAAGAATTCTTTTCACTGTTGTGAGAACTCCTTACTACCTCTCAAACTGCTCATTTAGAACAACAAAGTGATTTTTCCTGTAACCAAAGCACATGTGTACCGAAATGGCTTACTTGAGATCTATTCGTACAAGCCAAGTGATGCTGGCGATTACTCGTCTCCTGATCATGGGATGGAAGAAGTAACAAAACCGGATGGAAGCGTCTCTGGTTATCTCGCTGGTCCACTGATTATACTTGAGACTTATCGAAAATGAGCAAATTCAGTGATCATCTTCTTAATCAAATTTTTAACATGTATCGAATCAATGTTGTAGTAGTTAAACCCCTTTCACACCACACCCATGTAAAAGTTTGGAAAAGCTGTTTCCTTTTTCTATATAGGGGAACCCTTTTTTGATTCCAGTTGATCATATTATGAGAACTCACAATTTGGTCCACATCTATATACCCTCTCTCAGTCCCCAACACGCGAAGTTAGTAAGCCAGTTTTGGTGACTTAGCCTTCTCACCATACCTGCATTTCCATCGCTGATTGACCCTGATTGCCGTCTATACATAAGGAAGTAGTCGAAAGTGCAGTCATTGTTATTGATAAACAGAAATATTTGTGGACTGTTGGTACCTTGCATACAGCATATGTCTCTTGTCCTTTTGTACGAGTTCCTACAAATGCAACCGAAAATGATGAAATCACCCCAGGCCATCTCATCTTTAGTTATCGGATAATTCCTGTACTTTTTACTTTAATTTTTAAAAATCACAGAGACTTCCAAAAGATCTCATGTTTACGGCTTATGAGCAGGGTCAAAAGGTCCATTCATCGCTACCGTCGCATTCTCGGTCCGTGCCCAAAACAACACTTTGTGGCTGAGAATACGTTCTGCTCCCATTTTTGCAAATGAATTAGCATTTTCTGGGTAATGAGCGAGAGAAGGGGTAATATGGTAATCACGCAGAGCACACTCCATAGTGTTTAGCAAATATGGAGGGATGACACATACACTACACACGTTTATTTCAGCGGTTCAAATGTCAGTGTGGACCATCTTTGCAGTCACTGAACACTCACAAAGAAAACGTCTTCAAAAAAATAAAAAAAAACAATACAAAAAGCAAACAGTTTCTGTATTCGTTTCTACACGGTGCAATAACTTGAATTTTTTGAAACGATAATTATAAGGAGGAAAAGCACAAATGAGTGTAGAGAGAACATTAGAGAAAAATTTAAATTCTTGCAATGTTAACAAACTGCCGAAACTTGTTCATTGTGCATTTGCGGCATCAACCGCAGGTTGGTAGACCCTGTCATGTCATAAGTCTGTCAGGAACTCGGGGCTTTCACTTCCAGGAAGCTTTTGGAATTTTCTGAAGAAAACACAAAAAAAAATGCAACAAAATTGATCCGAAAACGTGCACAATTCGTTCAAACTGGTTTGGAAATGTAAAATTTAATTCAAAACATTGGACATGCAGACGCACAAAAGTACTCCTCCCAAGATATTTTTGAAACAGCTCATATTGCCAAGGCTTTCGAACCAAGACAGACTTGTTTGTTGGGTTGTTATATCCATCCGTTACTTCGACTTCTTGGGGGACTTAGCATAAAGATCTCGAAAATTTGCGAAACTCGACTATGGCAGGAAGCGTGGGTTCTGGATTTATTGAAATTTCTAGGAGCTCATTTATTACTTTGCAATGGGAACATAACTCTTGAAAAAAAAACGAAAAGATGCATAGAATGCCGTTGAAACTTTACAAGTCTTTGTTCGCAATTTGTATCAGCCGTTAAAAAAGCGATAAAAAACTTTAATGACGTCCTAACATTTGGTCGTCCCGAAAGTATTAGGTCGTTGCAAAAATAATGTCCGTTTTGCGAAAATTTAATTTGAAAGGCTATAACTTTGTTCAATCTCGATATTTTTGAATGTAGTCAAAACCATCAAAAGCAGTAAACCTTTCGTAATCTAAAGCGCACCTGCTTATACTGATATCGCAAACGGGAAGAAAACGATGCGTCAAAAAACCAAAAGATTTTCTTTTCAAAACCTCGTCTTTGAGAGATTACAACTCCCTCCAAGTTTTGTTCCTATGGCTGCTAATCACTTATTTTGTAGATGCAAGCCAGTAGTATATGTACGTTTGTATAAAAACAACTTCAACGAAGGAAACCATGCGAAAAGAGAAGGTAGAAATCCAAAATTGTCCACTCTTTTGAGCTCATTTGTGGTAGGCCAGAAGGCCTCAAACTATGAAAATTTCTAATATTTCATGCACTAAATAGCTAACTTTTTTTTGCAGAAGCAGTAGACAAGGCGTTCGGACCTCAAGTGAAATGAGCGAAGCTTCGGGCGGTTGCCCCAATTATGAGAGACTTTGGGCTCATAGAGCGCCAGCAGCGAGCATCTATTTTGGGGCGTCGATTTCTCGGTCCAGATATTTTCGAGAAATCTACTTATACATGCTATAGGTAAACAATTTTCAACCAATTCAGTAGCTATGTTTTCAAAAGAATACGTTTATTTGCGCCTGGATTGTGGCCAAAGGAGTTAAAGCAACGAAATTTCGAATTTGAGTGCAGCTGTGCAAGATGCTCGTAAAATTCCCACAGATACGATAGAAGCTTAATTTCACCACTGTTAGAAAGTACATGAGGACAGCTTATCAAGGATATGCGGAATATACCCTAATTTCCGGGGTATAAGGCGCACCCGCCGCAGCGAACAATTGCGCGAAAACGCTTTCTATGATTGCTCTCTAAATCTAAAAAGCTGAAAACTCAGTGTGCTGAGGTTATTCTTCACTGCCCATAAATCATGCCTCCAGGTATTTTTTTCCTCTTCTCAGAATGTATACTTTGATATCGTTTCTACAAGTGGGAGGAGAGTGCTCTCAATGGTGTTTATGGTGTTTAAGATGATTCTTACTTTTTCCAATGATGCTAGGTTTGTGCTTTCCTTTTCGCTTCCAATAATGCTACTGGTACTGAAATGGTGCTATCCTTTACAATGATACTGCGATATTTTGAAGGGCTTTGTTCTATTCTTGTCATTATTGAAGCATCAAAAAGAAGGTAGAGATTTGTCTACAACTAATCACGATTGGGAAGAAAACAACAAAGGATGAGAGCAAAAAACTATTGCTGGGTGAAAAAGGTTGCTGTTGCCTGCTTGAGCGGCGCCGCGCATCGCAAACGTCACCACAACAGTCCGCGCGCGGTGAAAGCTACTGCGCCTTATACCCCGGAAATTAGGGTATATCGAAAAATAAATTTCGAAGGAAAGAAATTGTTCGGAAAGTAGGCCTAGAAAAACGGACATTATTTCTGCAACAACCTAATATTTTCGCTTTTTGACAAGCGGCACATTGCCAGGAACTAAAATCTATAGAAGATCTCGGTAGCATACGATGCAGTTTTTCATGATCTTTTTAATGATTGTCTTTATGTTGCAGTTTAACAAACGAGCTCTCGAAATTACCAAACGACCCATGACGTTTGAAATGGTTGAGTTCCGCCGTTTTTCAGTTTGCATTGATTCCCCGAATTAGTCCGTAACGATGAGTAAACCAAACTCTATAGGATGCAGAAAGATTCTTCATCCTTCATGCTTCCTTTCCAAAATTTTCAAAATTATTTTCTTGATGCTATCTAATTGCATTTAAGGTCAAACTAAACCTCATAGAACAACAACTGGCAAGCAGCTCGCTCATTACTCGATGCGACAGTTTCTCCTCTTTCTTGAAGATGCTTTTTGTTTTCAAATCGTAAAGTCCAGGAGATTGAATCATCAGCAATCATGTTCTTGAAGGCACCTTGAGTTGTACCCTGAAAATTCAAGATATTGCAAATCGCTAAACGCATGTTTATTTTAAAAAATCAGTGCTGAAGCATAATTCACATTTGAAAGTAGCAAAAAATAGAAACTCATTGATGCTTGACGAGTCTGCGCCCGACTTAGGTCTGCTGAAATTCGATGGTATTGTCAAAAAGTTCTGCCAAAATTATGACGAATTATGAGAAGGAGAACAAGTTGTCTAGTATCTAATAGTTTTTCCTCTATTTATGCTTTATCTATTCAGACTTATTCGGAGAAACAGCACAAAAATTTCGAAAATTAGCGGAACTTAGCCATCTCAGAAATAAGCCGATTTTTTTTAATTTCCCAAGAGCGAGCTCGTCTGTTGAACTGCAACATAAAGATAATCATCTAAAAGAGCATGAAAAACTGCATCAAATACCACCAAGATCTTCATGAAACTTTGTTCCACGGGATATGGTGCGTGTTTAAAAAAGCGAAATATTTTTGGAAAGACCTAATAAATCTATCATGCAGCAAAAAGGAAGGGAACGAAGGTTAGTCGAAGCGGCCTTTCTGTATGAGAAGTGTAATTCCAGAGTATAAACCGCTGATTCCAGATATACCTTTCTTTCCTGCAGGTTTCTAAGCAGGGAGTTTTGAAGATTTTTATGGGTAAAAGATTTAATACATGTTCAGTATAAAATTAGTCGTTGACTTTTCCTAGCGTTCCGAAGTAGCAGAGTTACGTGGATATGTTTAAGCTAAAAATCATTATTGCGCAGAACCCGAAAATCAATCGCGTAGAAAAAAATGTTACAACTGATCTTGTTATACCTGCATATGTAAGTTTTTGCTTACAAACCTTCTAACTCTTCGCACAGGAACCTGCAGCAGATAAGGAATATAGATTTGGATTCAACTTTCATACCCTTCAAAGCAGTATCCATTCATAACAAAAGGCCACTTCAATCGACCTTCCTTTCCTCGTCAGAGGAGAGAAACGACCATCTCGTCCACAAAAAACGCACACCCGCCAGCATCCTGCTTTTTGCATTACGGTAGCGCGGGCTAGGTTCAGAAGGGCCGTCTCCCGTTCTGCAGATAGCAGCGTTTTAATGAAAGCATTTTGGTGTACGACATATCCCAAGAGGCCAAGGTCGCCAGTTACTTATCCTTCTCTTATTAGTTTCCCACTAAACGCCTTCAAATGAAACAAGCGATGAGGTCAAAAGTCGAGCGAAAGAAGCCACTTTGCCTGGCATCTACAAAAATTCGGCAAATGCCGTAGCTTTCCTGCCTTTATTTCAGTGCACCATGTCATTCACTTGCCCTCTGATGTTTTGACTTTCGGTAACATGTAATGACTAAGGTCATGCTAGCACGGACATTAAACAACATCCAGCTTTTCCAACAAAGCAGGGCAGCCGCGGCAAACAAATATGTCACTGACTTGCTGCCTTTTCAATACTGAGCTTAAACGTGGACAGGGTCTGATGACCGACTTTGCCAGTACAGAATGAGGAAATGTAAATTTTTATTATTATGTAATGAAACGCACTTTTGACAACTGCCGCCCTATAAGGGTGCGTTTGAAGCAATATTTGTAATAATTTACCTCTGTTGTTTAATCAGCATGTTCCGGGTTGAAGATAAGTATTTATAAGCAAGCGTCAGGTAGAACCATCGTAGTCGAACACTTCCTACACCACCCTCCACTTCCAGATATCTTCTCAAAATTCCCCCATAACTTATCTGTTGCAGTTTGTAATTCGCAAATCAATTTTCCCACAAATGTGAGAAGAAGAGCTTTTGTAAAGTACTGTTATCTTTATACATTCTGCCTCTATGACCAGATATCCTTTTTTTAAGTGCACTTGAGTAACGGATTTCTACTGAAATTCAAAAAATTCCAACAGTTGCAAACATTTTCCATTACAAAACTGGATTCGAGGCACCACTACCTTAATAAAGTCAACTTTTGTTGTTTTTCATAGTTGTAGAAAATTTTGGATAAGGTACGAACTTTGCCATGTTGGGTCGTGGACTGCTGGGCCGGTAGTAATCCCCCCGACCTGGCGGCAGGTCTCGTCGGCAGGTTGCTGGCACCTTTCCGCGAGGTGGCCAGAAACTAAGAACCGAAATTTAGGCCGTCCCAGGCCTTTTTCCAAAAAATTTTCTCGATAAAGTTGCCGCCTTGACTCTGTAGAAAACTTCATAAAAATCTGCGGCTCCAGAACTCCTCCTTTAGTAAAATATCTGGAATTCCAGGAGGAGCTGCCGGCAACTTCGCGATGTCATTTGCCGGCAACCTGCCGGCAGGTTGCCGGAATCCGCGAGATGGCAGCTGCCGGCAGGTCAGAGAGCACAAATAGCGTGCTCTTTTGAGAGAGCAAGCTGCCGGCACCTCGACGTGCCCCTACCACGTCGAGGTGGTGGCACCTTTGCCGACGGCGTCTGCGAGTTTGCGAATTGCGGCGATATCACACAATTTACGTCAGGCGAAAACATCAAAAAATCTACTTTTCATCAAAAAACTATCATTTTTCTCATTATACGAGTTTTTTTCAGAACGACGATTTTCTTACAGTGAAAAAATCCAGTAATGCCTTAGAATCATAAAGAAACATCATCTTTTTTGGAAATCCCTTATAAATCTCGTTTGCACAGATTTCGCCGCTCTCTCGCTCATATCAATCAGCTGTTCTTTCAGGTCAAAGTCTCTCACGCAATGTATCGATCCCTCTTACAGGCAGCCATTTACCAGCGCGTTCCTCCTATTGCTGGTGCAAAGGGCAATGGCTGACCGAATGGTCGAATGGTTAACGTGGTGGCACTTCAAGTTAACACGCATAGGTTCGACCGCGCGCGAGGTAGCAATTTTGCGGCTGTCTGCGTCATCAAAACTTAATGTGCGAAATGAGTGCGTGCTAAGACATAAGATTATTAAAACCTACAATCACTGCTGCCGGCGGAGTTGGCATCTTTCCGCGATGTGTGCCAACTTGCCGGCATCTTTGATGCCACCAGGTAGGGTAGATTACTACCGGCCCTGGTTCTCAAACTATTACATGCAACAGCATCGCAAAAGAACCAGTTGTCTGCGAAGGTGGCCCAAAATGGCGATTTCGTTCTCCTACCCAATCTTATGCCAGGTTACCCGTAACATATGGCCTAATGAATTACTCGAGGTGTAGAAGAAAATTTTTTTACATTAAATCTCTCACCTATGGTAATGAAGTACTGCATTGTGCGTTAAATTCCGCATTTACGTTGCACTTATACTACTGAGTTACGATATATGCTTGTGCATAGACAATACATTCTCTCAAAATTAGAACCTCGTTTACCTCGTAAACGATTATAACATATGGTATTACCGCAGAAAATAGGTAGGATGCTAAGGTTTGACTAAGCAGCATACTTTGATTCGCAAAATTTTCCACAATCGAAAACTTTCATAGTAAACTATTAGAATATGTACATTATTGTGCAAGTTTCAGGGTACAATGTACGGCAAGCCAATAATCGTTCTTCTCGTTCTATTTGCATGCGCTAGTGCGGGATGCTTGAACGGCTTGATGGACATGCTTTCGAGTTGCATATGCGGAGGCAATGACGAAAAGAACACCTGTCCGAAACTAATGGATAGAAATGTTTTAGTAAAGGTTGGTTTGGTTGATTTTAATCTTGGATTGTGATTTGGACTTATAAAGTATCCCAATCAACCTTTGCAGTGCGAGGAGGAGTGCCAGAATGCACAAAAATGCGACTTCAAGTCCCCTTGCCCAAAATTTTTCAATCAAGAATGTTTACAGTGCCTCGAAAACTGCTTCAAAGTTAATAATGCGTCTCTCTCGAGGAATTAACGGTTGAATTACTGAATTGAATCAGAACTGAGTTGTTTTTGTCGCGTTTTTTTTTGAATCATAAAATGTTTCCATCATTTCTTACCCGTGCATTTGGATCAGAATTATATGACTAGTCGAGTAAATATGTCGTTTTAAAACGTCTTTCTCCTCTTGCACCAACGAGATTTATTCACCTGATGCTAACAACATACAGAAATTCGCCAATTTATTCTTGCGAACACATCACCCTCTCTCAGGAATGGATCCGACGTATTTTGCTTGTAATCTTAGAGGATGCTTGATTCAGTTTTCGAAAATCTCTTAAGATCTAACGAATGCACCCACAATAAAAGTTGATGGTTGATGCTAATAAAAAATAAAAAACTTCTCCAAAAATTTCCCGTATTCGCTCGGTAACATTTGTAGCACCAACTCAGAGATTACCCAGTCGTGACTAACAGTGGAGGCCGTTAGGTCCCATACATCACCCAGTCACCAAAACAGAATTCTTTATTCGCTTTTTGGCGGATATTCACTTATATTGGGAACAACAGTAGAACTTCCAAAGAAGAATTTACAGAGGCCTGTTGATCGATGTTTCTAAATTTCAAAGTTCAAAGTCGGAACTGTCCTAGGCCAAAAATTGAAAAATTTTGGAAGAAATTTTCCGCTTATTCAAGACCATGAGATGTAGGATGTGTAAGCAGATCGTTTATAGTTACATTCTGCTTTTTAACTAGAGATTTTGAGTATATGTGTGTATAACTCGACAATATTCGCTTTGCTTCTTTTCACTCTAAACTAATTACAGTCCGAAAATTGTCACCAGCGTGTCGGCACATTAAAAAATTTGATACATGCGAATACAGCCGTCACTTTGGCGTAATTTAGCGATGAGAATAACTAGCAGATGAGCTTGGATAGGACGGAGGGGGGATCAATCTTCGTAGGCGCTTCAAATTCTACCATCTGCTTTCTGGCTTACTAGAGGATTATTTCTCCTATTATTATTCATTAGTTTACAGCTTATGCGGATACTCACTAATCTGTTAGACCTTTACAAAGTAATTTGATTAGCAAGAAAAGATGACTGTAAAAGTTAATGAGAAATTTTGAGCCAGTACCGTCTAGTATAAATGCGCCGAAAACCGTACGTTCTTCTTTATTAGAGAACGCCTTCATTTGGTATGTTGAAGTAAAGGACATATACTAGACCACATGAAGATATCAATTATGAAAAAAATAAGCCCGATATGATCATGAAAAAGGGCGAATTAATTGCACATCCATTAGAGAGATTCAAAAATGTTACAGTAAAAACATAACTGTTTACATATGCACAGCTAAAGGGCAGTTAATTCAATAATTGTTGTTCTTTGCTATCTAATCGAATAAATCATCAAGACCTCAGCTATGTAAAAAAGCCTTGGCGATTTTTGATATTTTTACAGCTCATTAACACGCTCACATAAGATTAATTAGCGATAGTAATGTGACTGTCTCAGCCATTCTAGACTTATTTTTAGTTGAGAGCTTTTTGACACTCTGCACAGCCATTCCAATTCTTGACTGATCTGGCATTTCCTTGTTAAAGAATTCATGCAGCGTGAAACCCTTTTCTGAAATCTTGCTACGTTTGAAGTCTGAATCTTTACCGGAGAACTTGCTTACAATAACGAAAAGCAAACTAAGTCGAATTAAACTTTAGCACAATTAACCTCCAAACCAGAAAAAACCAAAAATCGTTTTCGATTTATTTTTGAAAAAATTCTAAAAATTATCTAGATTGCTAGTTGTTTCGCTGTAATTTTTACTAATCAAACATGTGCGTTTTGATCACACAGAGCTAATGTTACAAGGCTATACTAACTACTTACTTTTGTGTGATAAAATTCCTTTTGATTTTCGCTCCAACCCTTACCTGGATTACGACTTAGGCGAGTCTTTTGCGGTCTTTTTGTAGAGCTTGCTTCGCCCTATCAAAGGGTACCCTAAATCTGCCAGGAAAACAGGGACAGCTTGACTCAAATAGAAAAGGATTTTATTTTTGGGACAAACCAATACATTGCCTTTTTTAGCTCTCAAAGTACTCTTTTGTAGAATTTGCTTTGACTTAGGTTTATAGTACTGAGCAAATTACCGGTCGCTCCTTACTACTGTAAGTTTATGGTAACAACTTACAGAAGCCGTTCTGAGACAGGCCAAAAAATATCCAAAAATCTTTGAAAAATTGTATAGTCAGAATCTTCAGGCATACTTGTACAATTCTCTTCAACTTTAAGCATTCCAGATGGTGTAATCGCATTTTTGAATAGCATAAATAGGCTTGCTACGGTATATGCGAAATGACCTAAGACAAGCGTTACTGTGAAAATGCGAACTTCGTATACCAGCTCTTTTGGCTCTCTTTCCAAAGTAAAATATAACTGCTAATGGTTAGAATTCCTATCGTAATTCTGCAGTAGTAGAGAGAGATAGATAAGTCGCTCCATACTGTAAAGCTAGGTTGAGGCCAGCTTAATTCAATGGCCTTGGCGAAAGACAAGGGAGCAAAAAGTCGTTGACGTTTAAAGCAGGGACAATTTTGGACACCGTGTATAAGCGTGAGCTCATTATTCTCATAAAATGGATTAGAAGCAAAGTTTGCTACCGCACATATGGTCCAATATACAATTGCTATGCGGTGTTTCTCGCTTGTTAACCATGCGAACAGGATTATGGAAACGAGGATTCCAACTTTTTTTTGCTCACTAGTTCTACAAAACTTGTTATTTTTAAATATATCAAACTCTTACATACCATTTATATTCATTGATTATCAAGTGTTGTATTGTGATAAACATTTTGATCTTCTCTTTGTCGTTATTCCTGACTTTGCGTTGAAATGAAGATTGATTTCCATGCATTCAGTATACATGCACTTGATATAAACTAGAGTATTACCAAATACTTGTTCACAATAGGGCTAACCTTCGTCGATCAAATTTTGCAGACTTTTTACTTGTGAGCTCTCCCTTTCTAGATCTCCCCTACAACATGAAAGTGTCGTTCACAAAGCCAGCAGATCCTTCAGAATACAAAAAAATATGCACAAAATGTAGAGTAGTTGATAACATATATGATTCTCAAATGTGCAAACCGGTTTTATAAGAGAAGCTACGGATACCGAATTTAGAGGTTTGCTCTGTCTATGGACGAATTGAATACGAATGAATAATGATGCATCACTAGTAGGAACGAGCGCAGTTGGGAGAACACTTGGCTTTCAACCATGAGGTATCGTGTTCAGATCCTGTGTAACTCATCACATTTGCGTTGTTTGCAAATTTTCCTATTTTATCTGAAAGTCATACTAAATAGCGATTATCGGCAGATTTCTTTATGATTGGATTTGGAAACACTTCCTTTCCACAGTAATAATGCGTTATTTACCCGTACTCGCTTGTACAAAGAGCAAAACTTTAAAATCGTGGTTCGTAACTTCTTCACAGAAACGTTTCGCAATTTGGAAAGCGGATATACAGAGTGTCCCAAAAGGATGTGCCTACCGTTTGATTGTAAATAACTCTGTTGTAATGAAGTGTTTCGAAAGTTTTGGGTACCGTTCTGAAGAGCGAGGTTGGACTTAGATTTAAGTGTGGAGCGAATCATCTATCGCTCATTACTGTATTATTGCGTTACGAACTTCGACAAGGATTTTAGGTCACTAAAGGCTATAATCTACTTGGAAACAAAACCAAACAAGCCAAAAACTCTTATACTACGGTAACGGGAGCCGCTGTTTTCGAATTTGAATTTACTGTGATGCTTCTTTCCAAAGTTATCCTCGGTAAACCGTAATAACTCAATTCCCAGCATCTGTCAGAAATGTAATTACACCGTCAAAAAAGCTGAAAGCTCGCAAAAAGTTGTTAGATGGAATCAGCATGCGCGAAAACCCTAGCACACAATTTTTCAAACATTTCGTACCGCAATCCTACAGTAATGAAGAGCGATAGATGTAAAAATATTTTGTTAGGTAGTATATTTCACATTGGTACCATATGTTGGAAGCTCTTACTGTAATCCTACAGTAATGAAGAGCGATAGATGATTCGATCCATACTGTTAATCTAAGTTTAACCTCGCTCTACAATACGGTACCTGAAGCTTCTCGAAACACTTCATTACGATAGAGTTATATTACAATAAAACAGTAGGCACATCTTTTTGGGACACCCTGTATAATCAGTGTCTCGAAGGGACCATAATGGTATACATCTACTGTTAAACTTCAATGTGACTCGATATCCTTCTCTCGTAGGAAGTGAGCAGAGAATCTAGAATAAATTCAACCATGGAATGGTAGTAAACATGCATCTATTAGGGTGAACGGTAAAAAATGGGACAGCTTGGTTTTTATTACATTTTAAGATTTTTTGTCGTCATTAATAACAAGCAGGCTGCAACTCAAACGTCACTTACATAATCGACCTTTGCCTATTGTTCTGGCAACGCGTTACCGCTCCTCTCTCGTGACCGCACGCGTGGCGTCGTGAAGAACTCCGACAGGGTTTTTTGAACAACTCTAAATGTAATAAAATAATGATTTATGCTTGTTGGGACGACTTTGTCCAGTAACGCTTATGTATATGACCTCTCTTTTGTTACTCCTTCTCTCTACAGCACACAAGTAATGACTAAGTTTTTATCAGTACACGAACGAGACATAGTGCAAAGGGCAAGGAATGTAAAAGAGGCACGGAAGAGTATACAGGAAATACCGAAAGAGGCACAGAAAACATATTACAGAGAGAACTATTGAAGAGATGAAGAGAACAGACAAAAGGAAAGGGGAAGTAAATGATGGG